GTTTGCACAATCTCCACCCATTAACTGGGTGCTATTCTTTGTCATATTCGCAGCGTGAGTTCTGCATTGATCTTCATTCGAATCTTTCAATATGTGTCAGTAGTTAGTACAGTGGTTCATTACCATTCTCATCATCAGTCCACTCGTTTTATAATTTGCACAGAAAATTGACTCTCATCGCTATATCGAGTAGAATTTTTTTCCTTTAACACATTCATTTACTGACATCCCACCATCCTTTCAGATGCTTCATCGTTCTTCTCGTAGTAGCCGGATTGCTATGGATGATTAAAATGAGAATCGAGATTTACCGTCGCAATCAAAGACGTATTGATGAAATCGAACATGTATGCCAAACTAGTATTCATTCAAATGACCTAATGTTTACAGATGGGTAGCAGACCGTTCCCACATGTGTGGTTAGAACTTTCAAACTACCATTTAGTACCAGTAAGTACCTTATTTTAACCCACTCATTCATTTATTTGCTTTCAGCACGATACAGGTGGACCAACACCCTTGGCTATAGAGCCTTGTAGCAATTATAAAGCTGGAATCTTTACATTAGCTGTTCGTTTGCCAACAGGAGGAAGATCATCGACTCCATGCGGAACATCAGGATTAGCTGTTGCATCAGCGTTGTGCCAGCTGACTACATCTCAACTGAGTTTACTTCAAAAACCAGGGAACTGTGATCATTCAGAGAATAGGAAAACAACATTAGGTCGTCTATTACCATTCCTTCATCGAAATTAAAGTAACAAACCAACAAACGTGTATACAGAAACGTCATAATTGTTTTTAATTTTCTTATATTATTGTATATAGCTTAAATATATAATAATTATTACTGTAAATTGATACATAAATCTAAAAACTCAAACATTTCCATATATTACTATTGCTCAATTACTTCTACTCTTTTGCCTTAAATTCCCCATTTGAACTTCAAAAGCATTTGAAAAACAGAAAAGATAGATTGTAAATTGATATATAACTTTACATATCTATACATAAAAAAATGTTTTCATGGATTTATTCGTGTATACATAGGTATTATGTATTTCATAGCATATAAGATTGGTTACAATGCATTTTATAACAAAC